AGGCCAAGCAGCATCATAGCCGCTTGGCCTGCTGTGTTCATCCAGCCCTGCACCTTGTTGTGTAGAATAGGGCAGCTTGCCTATCAGATTGGGGTGTGTTCGGGAACTCAATCTGCCCCAATCTGGGGTAAGATAAAGGGCAGGTGTGTGGCTTTTAATTCCTCCGACCCCATCAATCCCTATCCCAGTGGCTGGTCCTCCTCCTGAAATCCACTCCGCAAAAAGTACTTACCTCCTTGCTGTTCTGAGTCTTCAAAATTGCTCTACAGCCAGCAGCCCGAGTTTCTGAAGTAACAGTGCTGCTCTCAGTAACTATCAGTCTATGACTGGTTGTCAGCTTCAGGTGGGCAGAACATAGCTGTCACAGAAGTGATCATACTGAAAAGCCCACTAGGTGACAACTTAAATGCCTCATAGGTCCTTGATCTTGTGGGATTTATTAATGGTGGTGTGGTTGTCTCACTTATAATTGTGTCCACCCACACACTAACTCATAAATGGAAGATCCTCAGCATCTCTACCTCTTTTCTTTTCCTGAATACTGAGCCCAAAATTGAGTTTTCCATGTATGATCTCATTAGTATCTTCAAAATGTCAGCATCAATTTCAGGCTTATATATTTCGACCATATTATATACTGCAGTTGCACTCAGTTTTACTTCAATTCAGCTCAAGTGTGTATTACCAAAAAAAATTGAATGTTTCTGTTTTGATTTATAATTTGTATGTAAACTTCCTTAAATTGCTTATTGTGCATGTTATAGCTGAAGCTGTGAAACATTTACAGCTTCCTTTGAGAAGAGATCAGCCACAGGGATCATGAGACAAGATTGTGAGATGGTAAACTTCAAAGCAGAATCTGGAGCACTGACCAACTGTCCACAGTTGTGAGGCCCCTTTAAAACTTAGCCTGTTTTTAAAAAATGGAGGTTGTGGCATAAATGACTCATCTTTGTGTTCTGATTCAGTAAAATACAGTGAAAGGTAAGCAAATAAAAAACAATGAAGATCAAACACTTCGTCTCTGGCCCATCCTCTGCATCTTCACAGCCTCCACCCAGCCTGCCCTGCTGGCAGTCCCACAGTTAGCAGCCAAGATGTCCCATCTTTATGGGCATTCCATACTTGTCTAAGGGACCCAATACTAGGGAGGGAGTGCATACATGACGCCCCCTCATCCTGCTTCTCGCCTGCAACCTCCTCTCTGGGATCCCTATTCTGCCCAAACAGCTGTGTCCAGGGATCCCTGGACCCACCTTAGTGCCAGCAGTGGCCACTTCTCCTCATGGCATTACCGGTACTGATTGTATTGTAGCTCTCAGGGCTATTCACGTGGGCTGCCCAGGTAAATGCCTGCATTGGAGGGTAATCACCATGGTCATGCTGGGGAAAAGAGATACAGGGCTTCCACCAGTTCTCCAACTGGTGGGTAACACCCCTATCACCCACATTAAACCCAGCCAATGGTTAGGTGGACAGTAGCACATCTGCAAGCCAAATCAAATACCTCCCACCTTCCTCTTCAGCAACAGCACTGCCAACACCACATTCCCTGCCATTAACATCTTAGGCATCATTTTTGACCAGAAGCTAAACTAAACCAACCAAATCAATACCATGACTAGGCAAGCTGTCTATTTTGCAATGGATGGCTAACATCCTGAGTAGTCAAAGCTGTTCCACCATCTAGATCAGAAATGTGATGGAATACTCACAACACAAAGGAACCTGTGAACACTACCATGAAGGATTGAGAAGATTGTTTAGTTGGTAAAATTGTCACTGATCCCCAAAATCCGTCCACTTCATGACAGGTACCCTGAGCTGCTATATGTAGTAGATACAGTATGTAGTGGAACACTCACCATGGTTCTTTTGATAGGAGCTCCCTCTCATACAAACATCAAAAAGAACAAAAATGACAAACTGTGAGAACACCATCACTTAAAAGTTATCTTTCAGATTACATACAATTACAAATTGGATGCATATCATGGACTCTGGTTCATGTTGTATCATGTGTGCTCTGCTCAAAGACTCATTGTTTGCTGACGCTTCATGCAAAATTATTTTCTTTGTGGCTCTGTCAGTGATGATTTGTCATTGCCTTTCACTCTCAAAACAGAGCAAGAAAACAGATCTCAAGTTTTCCTTAGCTGGAATAGGAATCAAACCTGCGCTGTTGGCACTATTCTGAACCCCTCATTAAGTATCCTTGAACTGCCTACCTTAAAAACATAAGGTTTTCAACTACATTCTCAGTGTAATTCAGCATGAGTAGTAAATATGACCTTTTCGGCATTGATTACCTTCTTAATATCACATTTTGAAAAATAGCCTGTTAACACTCAACCTCATATGAAGAATATCCTTTTGAGCAAGATACTGAAAATAGCTATTTCCTGTAGAATCCTACAACTATGTTAAAAGCAAATTCATGGAAATTGTCAGCTTTCAGAAAGTGCATTGAACTTTAAAAAGAAGTGACAAAATCTAGATTAGCAGTTCTTTATCAACAGTTCAAAAGGTAGTATATGGATAGTAAGACCAACTTCTTCAGCCAGATTTTCCACACATTAGAAAATAAGCTATCTTGTCAGAGTTTGATCCTTTATCAAAAGAGAATGGCCAATTCAGTCACAACCAATCAGTATGGTGACTACTTCCTTCATGTCAGAACATATAAACCTACTTCTAGCTCGTTTGAATGATTAGGGGTATATCTCTTCAGACTGTTTTGTACATAAATTCAAATAATTGTTGCCAATTTTTAATATCAGATGTAACTATTGTCAAAAGAAAATTCATAGTGCATCCTATTTGCAATGTTAACTATTAGTTCATAAAGAAAATGGCCATACTAAAAGATAAAGATGGTTATTTTTGCATTTCTTCTAGCATATAATAATTGATCAATTTATTGCATGAAACTTAATTTTTTTGGCTAAGTTAGTGTTGCACCTAGTCTTTTGAATGCATTTCCACCACAAAGCTT